AATCGATATTTTAATTTGGGCATTATTTTGGTTCCTTTTGTTGAATGACAAAAGGGGGAAAAATCTGGGTGTCCTTTGTGCGTTGTTGTTCTACTATAATTGTTACTAATCTGCAGGGACACCTTCACTATGGCACCTAATGTTTGTCATCAACAAAAAGGGGGAATTTGTTGAGTATGTGGTTTTGTTGATGACTAACCATGCAGGTGGAACAAGGGACAGAACCGCTCACAGTTCTTTAAGCGACAAAGGACAAAACTAGTTCATGTGCTTACGTGATATAATTTGTGATTTAATTGGATTAATATGTGTGTACTTAATGTAGCTTTTCATGCATGAGCAAATTGACACCCACTTAAGTAATTGTGCTTTTAACTTTATAAAAAGTAATTGTGCTTTTTACTTTATGGAAAGTAATCTTGACTTGCTTGTAATATAAAGATAGTTGGCTTGAATTAATATATTTGCACCTACTTAATTATCTTTCGTATTTAGGTGCATGATTTATTTGGTTACTAGCTAATATACTTTCTTTATGTGAGCCCAATTCAAAAAGACCACTTACTTAGTCAAGATTATTATAATAAGGCAAGAATATATTTTTAGTGCATGACTTGTTAGAAATCTATGTTCTGGCCGTTGCATCCCTTCTTATATGGAATGATTTCCTACCTTTTTGAAAGTTGACCAAAGCTTGCTCTCTTTGATAATTAATTCAAAATACTTACACGTGATTTGAATGGGCAATTTGTGACTATGTTGCTACCTTGAATATATGAATATTAAATGTTGGATATTTTAATTTGACTGCCTTATATATTGAGCTCGGATATGGGAAATATTATGAAAGGAAAGCAATTCAAAATATCAAGGCAAGTCCCAAAATTAGAAGATCAACTATTCAAGGAAGGGTGCTAAAACGGTCTGCCAAGACAGCCTATATAAACGAAGCAGCCAAAGACAAATAAAGTGTGCTGAACCGAGAAAAATACTTAGAAGAATCATTCAAGAAAAGGATCAAGTCCTTGGCGCCTGAAACTGCCCGCTCGGAGTTCTAGATAGAGTTTCTCTTTTCCCTTTCATATTGTACTTGGATTATTGAGGCTTAATTGGCTAGAGTAGCTGCCTCGGGTTAAGTGTGTGTGAGAGCTTTGTGACAAAGCTGAGAGGCTCTCTACCCGCAAGGTAGAGATGCATAACTCTTCCTAGAGAGGATAGAGTTGGGGAGGCTCAAGGGTAGATTAGGAGAATCACTCTTGTAACTCTTTCAAAGGCTTGTTTAGTGAAGTTGTTTAAAATTCCTCCGAGGGAGGTCGAGGTTTTTTAATCCCTTTGAGCCAAGGGATTTTTCCTCGTTAAATTCTTGTGCACTTTACTGTTTTGCAATTCCCTTTATCCCACACTAGAACTCGGCGAAAAACTGACACGGTTCCACACACACACAATTCACCCCCCCTCTTGTGTTGCTAACCGTTTTCATCAACTCGACACATCAAAACATTTGATACTATTAAGAAATCCCGAAGAACATTTAATTGTTCCTAAGGATATCCTCGTTGTTGAGTTTATTTGGAGATCAACTTGATGATATAGATGATATGGCAGTGGCGACTCATAAAAAATCTGTTTATTTGAAGAGCATTAATGTAGATGCTCTAAATAAGTTGAATGACATGGTTTTGCTCTCACACAAAAAGTTTAAGGATATATTTATTTCTTCCACCATATTTAGAAGGCAATCCACACACCCCTACAGATGAATCGTGCGATGCACACCTATGTTTCAAGCTTCAAATATTTTCGACTAGCATAAAGGATCGTTATGTCTTACGTTGAAGTTCAGATAAAGGATATCACGTTGGAAAGATGTTATCGAGTTCAGATAAAGGATATCGCGTTGGAAAGATCTTATCGAGTTCTAAAATTCATATTCATACTTTCATTTTGGTCCTATGATTTTATTCCAATTTCACATTTGATCTACGTCTTTCACTTTGTCCATCGACTAATGTTTCTAAATTCACCGTACCATTTGTGGTCCTTCTGCTCATCTTTTGAATTTGAGAATAATACATACAAAATCTTTACAATAAGATAAAAACTGCTTTAAACAAAAGAACATATACGATCAAATATGGTGTATTAGAATAAATTGAGTATACGTTTCAGGTTAATTTCACTAACTCAATTCATTCCTCGCTGATTTTTTTGGCCATCAATTGATTGTCACCCATTTGCCATAAATGATCAATACAATGGTTTCATCCACTGTCAATTCTATTTATAAGGCGTATAGAGGGAAGATAAATCACATAATCAGGTTATTTTGGAAGGAATATATTATCAAGAAATTACATATTGTTACCACTTAGAGGACCTTAAATCTTGTCCCTGATGTATTACTATTACCCCCCTTACCCCATAGAAATCAAATTATGTGTCAATGGACAAGTGGGCTATATAAAATACGGAGTAATAAACTCCAATCAAGATCCTAAGACTACAACTTTTGCTTTACTTTTTACATTATTAATGTGTCCTTTTATTTTTTAAAAATCAGTTTCAACGGATTCTGATCCTTAAAAGAACCTAATTTCGATCCTAATTAGTTTTCACCATTTGCCATAATTGATACGAAGTGGAGTATATGGGTAGAATGTATAAGTGATGATATGAGATTGACGGATAAAATTAAACCATTTCTCTGTTTTATCATTCATGAATTAATGACAATTTATTAATAAAAAGAATGATATTTCATCCCTGAAGAACAACTTATTAACTCTTCTGTGATACCTCCTCTCTTTAATTCGGTAATTTCCACTTCATGATACTTCAATGTTAATGATTGAACTCATGAATTTGGATTGATTGAAGAAGATGATTGAATTCAAGCTACAGAGAGTTTGAGCACTATGAACGAATGTCTGCAGAATGGAATGCTAGGTTACTAAAAATAGAATGGACCTATTACATATATACTGATTACAACTAAAATGGATAGGGCCGAGTAGTAAGGCCCAATACATAATAAAATAAATCCTAGTCCAGCTTTAGTCTTGATACCCCTCAAGAGGAGCATGTATGTCTTGCATGTTGATCTTGACTGCAAACTGTTTGAACAAAGGATTTCCAAGAGCCTTGGTATATACAATAATATATCTGCAAGTTGAAAATTGTTTTTAATATGAATCAATTGAATTAAACCAGATGAATTTTATCTCTGTGACAATCTAACTCAATATGTTTAGTTCTTTGATGTTGAATAGGATTGTGAGCAAGATGATAAGTTGATTTACTATCAGTATATATAATCATAGGTAAAGTAAATTGATTATGTAAATCATTAAGAATTTAGTATAACCACTGAACCTCACAAACAACATTTGTGCATGCCCTATATTCTGCCTCAGTGGATGACCTATTGACTACCTGTTGTTTATTAGATTTCCTGGAAATTAAAGAACTACCAAGGTAAAAAGCATATCCAAAAACACTTTTTCCAGTATCAATACAAGCAACCCAATCAGAATCAGTATAACCTTGTAAAGAAAAATCAGAAACAGAAGGATAAAATAAACCTTTACCTGGAGAGCTTTTAAGATATCTAAGTATCTTGTGAGCTGCACTCATGTGGATATCAATGGGAGAAGCAAGAAATTGACTTAAATATGAAACACATTAAATATTGGATTGAAAGATTAGCTAAAACTTTGACCTTCGAAATTATGAAAAATTTGATATGGAAATAATTGTCATTAAAATGCAGTGAGAAGATGACATCGTGGTAAGAGATTATATATGGGAATCATATGGAAAATAAGATCGACGTTTGCTCTCTTTGCACTTTTGCCAAGCTACTTTTTTCATGCCATGTTTTTCGGCCTACATATTTTCGACCAGAGTTTCAAAGATTTACAAAAAGTTGGGAAACTAATCTGAATGATGTCATTTGCTAAGGTTTTTTTTAGGCATTTTACTACTTTTTAAAGCTTAACCTTTGCTACACATATATATGGGGAGAGGCTGGTTTGTTAATTCGTAAACATTTTCATATTATTTTGATAAATGTTTATAAAATAAGTACTCTTTGTCCTGAGACTGAGAGTTAGATATTTCATCCCACTTTCCATTACGAATTTGAACCTCCTTTATAAACAAAAAATTAAAAAAGAAACACATTTGTTTATACTATGATTCGCATATTCGGAAATAACAAATCGATGGGTGATCATGCATTCATGCAAAATATCACATAAATCTTAAGAAACAAGAGTGAATCAATGAATGTAGTTATGATTTAGAGTGTAATTCGATCGTAGGAATTGTCTTTTACATCCAAGAATTCTTCCATTTAAAGTAGCTACGATGTGTCTCTTTGCACAACCGTTTTGTCAAGTCTAGGGGTGGGCACGGTCCGGTCCGGTCCAATATTTGGCCGAACCCGTACCCGTACCATTACTATTGAAACGGTTCGGTACGGTTCGGTCTTAGACCTAAACCCGTTCGGTAGGGTCCATTTTCAAACGGGACGGTACCATGCCATACTAATACCAAACAATGCCACTTTTTTCAGGTGTTTAAGAAAAAATTAAAGTTTAGTCATCCTCCAAAAAATCCACACAATTTATCAATTTTCATATATCATACTACCTTTGTTCCAAATTGATTTACAAAGTCAATCTTTTTTGGTCAAACAATTTCTTTTTATTCACTTAATTAGAATTTTACTTTTTAATTATATTCTAATTTAGCCTTTCAAAAAAAACTACTCCGCACTTCGTATATTTTAATTTGGATTTTGCAACTTTAGAGAGATTTTAATGTGGTTTCTAAATATGTAAATTTTAATTATTAAAAATTGTATAATTATCGAGAACTTAACATTAACTTTGACAAAAAAATGTTGGTTTTGCAAATCAATTTGGGACGGATGAGGTAATTAATATCTTTTAGGTAAACTATAGTAGTACAAGTTTAATAAACCATACTTCGGTCCGGTTCGGTCCGGTACCGGTTCTCATTTTATGAGAACCGGTCATGGCATTGTTTGGAACCGGTTCGGTCCGGTTCGGGACAGAAAATTTTGAGATCCGTTTCAAACCCCGTTTATCGGTCCGGTACCATACCGATCCGGTTCGGTATCATGCCGGTTCGGTATTTTTGCCCACCCCAGTCAAGTCTGATCCTTGACAAAAATCAGCCAGTTCTCCTGCACAACTTTTTAACTTCCTCTTGGGCAGCATATCCGCCAGTTCTCTTCTCCCTTGACGCACACTTCCTCTTCCGCATCTCAACGAGAATGGGAAAGTCTCCCGTTGCTTCCAAGGTCGCTGAAGCCTCTATGAATTCCAAAGGTTCATCATCTCTACAAGCTTTCGACGTCAGATTCTCCAGACCATCTTCCATGAAGGACAAAGACATGAAGAAAATCAAATCGGTCTATGGCTTCCCGGAATCCTCCTGCTGGTTGGGTTGGATTCATGGCTTCAAAATAGGTACTTGTTTCCCTCTTTCTCCTTTAATTAGGGGATTCCTCGAACTTGTTAAGATGTCTCCAACTCAAATAATGCCGGCCTCAATCATAGAGGATGCTCCGAGCCCTTGGAGTTCTGCCCGTGAAATTCTCTCTTAAATTTGCGGCGGATGACTTGGATTTTACCTACAACTTGCGTCATTCGGGGACTTGTTCTAGTTGTGAAAGAGAAGCGAGAGGTTATGATTCATGGTGCCGACAATGTAAACGATCATGGTAGGGTGAGCAAATATTTTTTTTGTTGAAAAAGCTTCCTTGGGTTCAAGTGGCGATTTGTCAGAGGAGCGACTCAAAGACTATGGTGAGTGTCGTAATCCTCTTTTTGTATTTTTAATATTTATTACTGTTTATTACTACGTATTTTTTCTTTCTTTTCTTATATATCTCCACGTCCATAATTCCATATATTGTTTGGCCTTTTATATTTGTACTACGTGAGTTCAATGATGTTTTCGATGTATATATCTTGTGTTCGTCGTGTTTGCGTATTGTTAGGTTCACAAAGACTTTAACCATCCCATTTCAACCCGACGCAGAGAAACAAACCGCTGAGAGCCTGAGATCATAACTTTGGACGCTTCGTGCAGGTCATATGGTGTCTTAGGCCTAAAACCCCAAGGTAACAATACGGGTCTGTTTGCAATCAATTAAAAAAAGTCCTTTTAACTTTGTTTTAAAGAAAAAAACACCTATTTTACCAAACACTACCAACTTTTTCTTTCTCGGCTTCCGTGAAGAATCCACTTTTTACTTTTTCTATTACACAAAAAGCACTTATTTTACCAAACACTACCAACTTTTACTACTAATCACTTTTTTCCCAAAAGTACTTTTATTTAAGCACAAGTGGTTGCAAACAAAGCCTACGTCCTCTCTATGTGATTCTAAAAACCTTTTTGTGGTCGACTTGATAGTCGAATTGAGGAGATCTTCAAAGCGTGAATGTCACCATACTAATCAAGGCAAAGAAATTTCGATCATGTTAGTAGTAGACTCCGACGAGGAAGATGAAAGTAGCAGGAATGACTGTGAAGAGGGTAAAGATACTTGCTCCAAAAATAACTCTTCAAAGATCGAAGTGGAAATCCCTGCGCGCCGGCTGTAATGAGGATAAGTTGATGCAAATTGACCTATCAAAAGGTACTATTTCTCTAGTTTCCTAATTGTATCATAGTTCTATTTTTTTCATTATTGTTAGTCCTTATTATTACGTTTCTTTTAAATTTTATAGTTGTTTTTTCCTCCGTGGATGGCCGCCGTGCTCCTTTCGCTGGAGAGCTTTTAGCTCGTGCCACATCCCAGAAGAGGAAATTGTCAGTCCTTCGTGACGCTGCCAGATCCAACAAGTTGTCGATTGCTTTTCGTATGATCGTGCCCCCAATTTTGAGTTTGAGTATTATTGGAACAGGTATTATCCATTATTATTGAAATTTTCTTCTTTCTTTTTTTATTAATTTATTATTTACACGGTCAATTGTTTCCGAATGAGTAATAGCTTCATTTTGATGAGTATACTATTGTTCTTTTTTATTTTTATTTTTGTAGGATGGTGACTACTTTCAATTATTCTGATAATCCATGGTTGAAGAAACTTTATGGAATTAGGGAGAAATGGTGTCCAACATTTTCATAAGAGTACTTTTCTGCTGGCAATTTATCCTCACAAAGAAGCGAGTCAACGAATAATTCTCTGTCTAGAAAGTTGAATGCAACGTCCTCTCTTTGTGATTTCTATCATTTCTTTTGTGAAGCTGTTAGTGAATGGCGGAGTCATGAGAGATCAGTTCAAGAACGTTGTTAGGATGGCTTCCCCGAGATAGCAATCTCACATCTTGGTATATTACATGCAGCTTCTCGAATTTACACGATTAATGCTTACAAGCTGTTTGAGAAGGAGTTTGTTCATGCTATGTCTTTGAAACATGAGGTTAGACATTGTGTTGATTCTGTTATTGGATATTTAGTATGGATGGCTCATATTGATCAGTTTTCACATTGGGTTTCATATCACACGTCATGTAAGAGATTTCAAGAAGTTGGTATTTTGTGCTGCCATAGTCTTCGTATATATCATATCCACTACATTGAAGTTCTTCTTGATTGTTATGTTTTAAAACGTTGGACTCGAATAGCAAAGTCAGTTGAACAAAGTTAGTCATTTATGATATCCAACATTTCTAATGTTTTGCCTTCTGTTTGAAGAATGCAAATGCAAAGGAAACTTCACAAACTTTTGTGTTCTAGTGATTCTAATGCGTCAGCGAGGCTGCTTCGTGAAGAATCGTTCAAAAAGTTGAAACATGATGTTGAAGAACAAGTTGGCAGTGCATGTTTACTTCTCAGACAGTGATTCAGCTTCAATTAGAGTTGGTACAATTTCTAATCCCAAAGGTTCGAGGAAAAAAGGTGAAAGAAATGTTCGACGCAAAAGTATTGTTGAGATTAAATCAAATCAAGCGCGAGGAAGGAAAAAGTCAACTACAGCAAGTACATCAATTATTGACCCTTGAAAATTGTAAACACTCTTAAGAGCTTTATATTTGGTTAAATACTTGTTATATTATTCAAAGAAGTACATGTTGTTTGATCTTTTATCTTTAATTTTATCATCATTTTAGTTTCTGTTATGTGCATTTTTAGACTTTACATGTGTTTCTCTCTCTATGTTTTTGTTGTAATTTTTACATTCATTGAATCATACATTTCCCTGATATAATATTCGTTTGAGCATTTCTTTCTAATTTAATGAGCAACACATGTTAACAAAATGAGTATTGAAATGAATTTAGTTTTTTAATTGTTGAATTTGAAATGAATTTTGAATCCAAGACTCATTAAACTGTGTGTTTACTATTTCGAATTAAATATGAACTCTTTTGCTTTAAAAAAACACTTTCACATAAAATTCAATATTTCAGATCTTACTCACTTCACTTGTGCCATTATGAATAACTTACTATTGCTTGAAAAAGCACTTCCCCAGTCGGTATTTAATAAGAAAATTAGTAAACCTAATTTCAAACTTAATGTTTTTAAGTTCAATTGATCAGTCCTCAAATTGTGTATAGTAACCAATAAAATGAGCGTACATGTTACTAGTAATAGGTATTAATATAAACTTCATATATGCAGATGTCACCATTCAATATTACAATCATCATTAATGTGTATATTTACTATTTCGCAATGAACACAAATATATATGTATTTTCCCAAAAACACACATTTACATAAAATTAGCTATTTCAATTCGTAGTCACTTTACTTACACCATTATAACTAACTTACTAATACTTGGAAAAAAACACTCCCCCACTATTTTTTTAATAGGAAAATAAGTTGACCTACTTTCATACTGAAAGATTTTAACTTTAAAGGGTCAGTCATTAAATTGGTGTATAAGTAATTAACAAATGAAATGAGCGTAGAACTTACTAATAATGATCATTAATATAAACTTCACATATGCATCTGTCATCGTTCAATATTACAACCATGATTATTGTCAACCAAGATTAAGAATAATATAACAAATACTAATAGTGTTTAACATCTTAAGATTGATATGATAAAAAAACATCTTATGATTGATGAATTAAAAAACAACCATATGTTCCTCAACACCCACAATCATTAATGTCACAATAGCATTACATATCTTTTAGATAAACACATTATGTGTTTTCACTTGTTCCATGACCTCCTTCTTGATCTCATTCTTCTCAAATGTGACTATGGCATGCAAGTACTTAATCCTCAGTATCTCAAACGGTTTTTTCTTGTACACACATTATAATTTAGATATTCAAGTTTTCACATAATTATTATGTTTTAAACCTATATTAACAAAATTTGAACTTACACTTTCTTTGTCTGGTCCACATTCCCATGTTGTGTCGCCATTAAATGTCTCCATATGCCTCATCAAATACACTCCCTCATTGGTTTTGTTTTTGTTATTTCTCCAATGCATTTTAACCATTTGTTCCTTCAGCTTCGCAACCTGATCTGCCTTTGGGTGTTTTTGTTCTCGAAGAAATTTCACAAATGCACTTCTCTGTAGTTAAAAAGTTCAAAAAATGACTTATACATATTTTTGTGTTATTGCACATAGTTTCTATATATCTTACTCAATTATCAAGTGCACATTACTCATATACTAACTGATCACATTATTTAACCATATGTAGTATAATCAAAAGAAATATATAAAACATTTACCAGGTAAGCCGGTTGAAACAAGTACTTCACTCCAGGACATATATCTCCATCGCTACTATCAATAATGTAGAACTTCATGTTCTTCAAGTCAAACCACATCATGTAGTAGCACCCATTCTGTTCATCCGGGAATATGAATAGGTTCGTTGTCCTCAACTTATTGCCTTCTGCCTTGGGAAATTTCATACCAATAGTTGCAACAAACCTTTTGTTCCTTGTTTGTGGAGCGCTCACATGATTTTGATCTAGCACTTGCTGCCATTAAATATTATAGCATATTAGTTTCATTTAGGTATTACTAAATAAATATGTACTTCTTACACATGGTTTTGTCGAGAGAAAAGCAGCTTGCTTTTAGGTTTAGGGCTTTTGAACTTTTCATTATGGTTAAGCATCATTGCCCATATACCTATGACTTCAACATCAACTTTTAAGTTGCTCCTCAGTGTTTCCATCCGAGCTTTCGAAAGAGTTAAGTTATGATTCTTGAACAACACAACACTGTTTCAAAAGCATCACTAGATCAGAGTGAGTAAACTTAAATATTAAATGTGCAATACTATTAAACGATATGATTAAGTAAAAATTGTTGTGTACTTACTTCTTGTCACAATGATCATTGAACACAAAACCTGCAAGTCTTCTTTCTTCACTGCCAGGCGTTGTCTTTGCATCTATGACCCTCTTCATGTATGGGGACTTCAAAGCAGCTGTTAGGGCTGTTTGTCTTTTTCCTCTTTCCATTTTCTTCTCTTTTGGGTCAATGTGATCTTGTGCAACTTCCTTACCCTTTCTAGACATTCTGTCTCTGTCTTCTTCACCTTCCTTTTCAGCTTCCTCTTCATCCTCATTAACATCCTCAACATTTTCATTATCTTTATTCATTTTCTCACCGTCACCATCCTCTGCGTGCTCAATATCATTGCCTGCCAGCTCAAATACTTCATTAATATGCTCAACATCATCTTCATAACTATTCACCATTTCATTTGACTCCTATGAAAGTAACTTGAAAGTTGGCCTCTCAACTCTTTTCTTTTGAGCCATTTCAATAGCTTCAACTGCTTTGAGCACTTCTTCCGTCCAAAATCCATCATCCAGAATCAATGATACTTCAGTTTCAATTTCTTTTTCTTTCTCCTTTTCTGGGGAATATGTGTTGAAAAGCCCATGGACTTCTCCCATTAAAACCTTCATCTTCTCATCATCAGGTAACAACTTTGCAGCCTATTGAAACTTTTCATCAAAACTGGCCATGCTTTCTGCCAAATTCTTCGCGGCTGCAGCAAATTCCTTCATAATGTCCTGTAGTTATTTAATTATTAATGTTAGAATAGTAATTGAGCATTCTTCATTTTATTATTGAGTTTAGACTAAAATAATTTCATGTCACATATTTTACACTCTTATTACAAAATGAACTAAGCATATACGTTTATTACATTTATTTATTCAGTCATTAAAATTTTTATCCATGGTTTTGTAACATTTTTATCTTTCTTTTTCTTTAAGTTCCTGCATAAACTCATTATTTTGTATTAAATACTCATATCTAGAAATCCTAATTCTCATTTATATATTTACCCAAATTTCTCTCTTAAAATTACATACTACTGTACTTACCTTCTTTGGCTGCTGATTGCTGTTTCCCTCAATTTGCCTTTCAACTTCTTGTTCATTTGTGATCATGTTTGGAACTGTCAGTTCCCCTTTATTAGCTTCATCTACATATCCATATCTAAAACCTCTGCTTTCAATTTCTTCCTTCTGTCTTTTGTTCAGCTTTTGTGTTGTTCATTCAATAATAGATGGCAATCTTCTTTGCACTTTTCTACCTTTGAACACAGAACACCTACATATTTTATAAGTTGTTAGAATTGTATAATGCATATAATTATTTGATTAATAATATGATACAATTGAGCAATAGTATTATAGAATTTGTAACTTACAATCAGAAACAATAAAGGCCCCGAGAAGTGTTTTCTCTGTTGTTGCTCCAATAGTCCTTTGCTTCAATTAATGTTTCCAATGTGTATCCACACCAATTAAGATTCTTGATTATTGAATCATCCTCCAATGCCTTCAGAATGCTTTGATTGACAAAGCAATTTTGCTTCCCTTCAATCAAACACGTTACCAGGAGAACCGAAAAATTCTTTTTAAACCGTCCTCCACCTTTTTTGTTTTCTTCTAAAACCTTCTTCACTTGAGCAGTCCTCACAACTCCATTTTCAGTCTCGAATTGCAATATCCAATCAGCCACCATGTGTGATGTATTCTCAGCTTCACTATCAATCAAATTCTTCACATTAATGTTTCCTTTTGGAAAACCCAATGTGAAGTGCACTGCATCTTCATTTATCCTCAATCTCTCGTTGTTCGGCAGAACAAGAGACACACTTCTGCTATCAAAACTCTCAACTACCCAATATGCCAAGTGCATTGGCAATTGCTTGATATCAAGGTGCAGTAAGGGGCCAAATCTAATCTCGACTACCTCTTCCTTTTGTTCTAGACTTATTGTTTTCATTATTTCTGTTATAGTACTCGGAGACATTCTTGTCCGCGGTTGGGGTATTTATCATTCTCTTCCTTCCATGGGCGGAGCTAGGGGTGGGCCAACCTAGGCCACGGCCCACCCCAAATTCAAAAAATGGCTTAATTTTTAAGGTAAAAAATTTCGTGTAAATTTTTTTCTAAAAATATTCTTTGTACCGGCCCAGTCCAGCCCAGTGCCCTGGCTCCGTCCCTGCTTCCTTCTCTATCTCCTCTTCGTCCTCCTCAATTTCTTCTTGTTTTGCTTTCTTCTTCTTCATCTTTTTCTTCTTCACTTTTAATGACTCTGCTTCTCGTGTTCTTGTCTTTTTTGCATCAACTTCTTTCTTATTTTTTCTAAACTTCATCTTTCTTCTTGTTGATCTTGTAATTCTTTTTGTTGGGATGACATCCTCACCCTCTTTCTGTTTGCTTGAATTACCTTGCTCTCCACTTTTCTTAAATGTGCTTGGATTAGACATTTTTCACTTTCTTTTCTTCTCATTATTTCTCTGTAATTGCTATTGGTTTCATCTTCTTCTGTGGAACATTGGAAGTCTTTTTAATCCTTTTTTTGGGTTTGTGCGCAACACTTGGATCTCACTTATAGGTCTTGCATCTAAAATCCTGCATTATTAATTAAAATGAGTAATATATATCAAATCACGATTCACAAATCATTTCAATACTTAATACGTACACTATACCGTGTGTTCAATGAACATATTTCACTTACATTATGAGCATACAAACAATTATCTTGTAACTGTATTCCATAACAAGCATATTCTAAAACAAAGATTGCATAGTACTTGATCTTCACATAGCACTATATGGACATTTGAAACTAGTGATCAAATTATGAATATTACAATAGTTCTCACACAATGTTTTATAAAA